TGATTAAATTTCCAATATCCTCGCCCACGTGGAAATTCAGTAAGAGTAATGTATATGCCTATTATATGATGGTCCGACCGCATTCTGTCCCCTATCAACACTTTTTTTTACTTTTGGTGCCAACGAGAATGAGATAAGAAAGAAGTCAAGACGACTAGCTTGATTCAGTCTCCGCCATGTATATCTCACTAGATCAGTATATTTAAGCCTCCATATATCTACTAGTTCTAATGTGTCCATGACATTCACAATTTCCTTTAGAGCATGTGGGTGATTGTTTGTGGTGTGATTTCCTTTACGGTCCATTGAGCTATTTAAAACAGTATTATAATCCCCCACCATAATAATATTGTCTTGAGTTGCTTGCAGGCTTGATAATTTATTATATATATTGTCAAAGAATTGTGGATCATCATTATTTGGTCCGTAAAGGTTAATGAGCCATATGTGTTTATGGTCCAATAACATATTTTAAATAATCCATCTACTAATCTAATTTCTTTCCTTCTTAATGCATTTGAGCCAATCAGTTGTGATGTGACAAGGTAGGGGGGTATACCCCCCCCCCCCTAGTTTTGATGTCTTCACTATTATTCAACAAAGTCAAAAAATAGTAAAAATAAAGAAAAACCCTTGAATGAGTAGGTGTGTCCAAACTTTTGACTAGTAGTGTGTGTTCGAGAGTCAAAACCGCAATGTATTATGGGTAAATTGTGACTGACTGACTGTTTAACAAATAAAAATGAGTCGTTACTTATGATGCAAGGTGATTTGTAGATCAGTCAGTCGACAGTCTCCTGCAGTCGTTTTGATGCTCTCCAACACGGCCAATGTTTCTTCTATCTATATTCTTCTGCATCAGTAGAGCAGACACTGTGAGCTTCGGCTTTTCTCCTCTTAAGAACTCTAAGGGGTATGTACTTTTTGAATAGATTTTTCAGGCTATTGATACAGTCCAGTGAATGTTGCTCTTTCCAAGTTATGTTAGTGGAGACAACAAATCCTCCTAATTTGAAACTATTAAAATGAGCTTTTCCAAAAGTCTGTCAACAGTACTTTAGTCAGGTAAACCACCACACCTTTAGTTGGTATGCACCAGAGCTGTCACTGCAAGTTTTACTGAGTGCCACAGTATGAATCATAAAACCCGGAAATTGTTCCAATCGTTTTTTCACCATTAGTTTTTCCATCTGGGGTTTTAGAACTACTTCATATAAGGTCTGTGTTTCGTGTAGGCTTACCCTGACATGGCACTTTGATAACCGCGCAGATCTCTCTCGGACAAGGTAACTTTTATAAATAATTAGCATAGCAAATTTTTTTGAGTAAATTGAGGCGAATACACGGCTATCAGAACGTCACGCCAAGGTAAGCCTACACCAAACACACAATTAATTTGATTGTTTTGAATGGCTGAAAAGCCATTAGAACCATTTCCGTGATTTTAAGGGTATTGTGACACGTCCACTGTGGTAGACTATCTGAGAAAAGAGTACAGGAGCTTTTATTATTTATGTATTATTCTCCTAATGAACTCCACCCGATTGTACTGTACAGCAGTGGTTCTCAACTGGTTTTTCCTGGGGACCCAAATTTGACAATGACAATTGAGTCGCAACCCAATATTATGGACAGTTGATGATTACATTTTGTAATGTTGTATTGCACCTGCCTTCTTGGGCAGGCTTCACTTGCAAAATAGACTCTGTCTCAATTATGGTATTAAAGAAAGTCATTACACAGCTATATTAACTGAGAAAACATTTATTATCAATTCAAGAGAATAAGCCATTTAATTAGGCGACCAGTTCAGGAGTGGGGTGTAATAAATGATCAGACTCAGAACATGACATCAAAACCAGTCCAATAATGTTAATGAACAGTAACACATACCAGTGTTTAAAATAGAAAAAACAACAATCATTAGGAATTCTTAATCATCAACTACCATGTGAATAGTTTCACAACCTTCAAAAGTTTTTTTCAAAGGTGTACGTTTTTAACCAGTTCAATAAAATGTCATATTAACATAGTGAACAATAGCTTATTAACCTGTTTATTTAGCACAGACAGGCTGCTGCCTACATACAGACTTGAACATCACTGGCCACTTTAATAAATGGAACACTAGTCACTTTAATAATGCCACTTTAATAATGTTTACATATCTTGCATTACCCATCTCATATGTATATACTGTATTCTACACTATCTTAATAATGTTTACATATCTTGCATTACCCTTCTCATATGTATATACTGTATTCTATACTATCTATTGCATCTTAGCCTATGCTGCTCTGACAATGACATTGCTCATCCATATATTTACAGTACCAGTCAAAAGTTTGGACACACCTACTCATTCAAGGGTTTTTCTTTCTTTACACTTTTTTGGTTACTACATGATTCCATATGTGTTATTTCATAGTTTTGATGTCTTCCCTATTATTCCACAAAGTAAAAAATAGTAAAAATAAAGAAAAACACTTGAATGAGTAGGTATGTCCAAACTTTTGACTGGTAGTGTATATATTCTTATTCCATTCCTTTACTTAGATTTGTGTATATTAGGTATTTGTTGTGGATCTGTTAGATGTTACTTGCTAGATACTACTGCACTGTCGGACCTAGAAGCACAAGCATTTCGCTACACTCACAATAACATCTGCTAACCATGTGTATGTGACCAATACATTTGATTTGATTTATTGTGTGTGTGTGTGTGTGTGGCCTATCAGTGGGAAAGCTGGGAGTGTTTATTTAGTTTGATACGTTTCTTTAAGTCTGGGGTGATGGTTGACAGGGCAACTCAGAGGTCATGCTGGCTGTCCAGTTTGTTTCTGCTTTTAGTTTTCAGCACTGCCATAGCAGAGAAGCCACCTTCACACAGATAGGTAGTGCTGAACGGTAGCATGATTCTGATTGCATGACAGGGGAGAGCAGGATACTCTCCCATTAGGTGCACCAGAACCATGGCAGTGTCATTTCCGGGAATTGCATGCTCAGTCCACCAGCAAATCCTTTTCGTCGCTTGGCAACATGACGCTTCCCATCTCCACTCAAAAGGTGACATAGACCATTAGAATTGCATGGTTAACCACATCTGTGGATTTGCATGGTTAACCACATCTGTGGATTTATCAAGCTGCAGTGCGTAATGATGTCTGGTGCGTTATGTCCTCAGATATGTCCTGGATTGTCCTCCTCATTGTGTCATTGGATAGGGGTATGGTTTTAAGTTAGTTGGCGGCTGACTCTCCCACGATTTTAGTGCACATTTAAATCGCAGCAGGGAGTATGAGATCCTCTGTGCTGGTGTGGGCTTTTTTGCACTTAGCAATACGCTGGGCCGCAAGGTATGATGCACAAAGTGCCTTTTCTTGTACCATGAATACGTTGTTCAATGAATATTGTGGGGCCTCCAGATATTGACATTTCCTTTTTTTTTTCTTTAAGTCAGCTATCTTATCTTTGTGGCTTGGATGCTTGGTGTCCAGATACCTTTTCATTTTTGAGGGTTTCATGCTCTCATTAGCTAACTGCTCGTTGCATAGGACCCACTGCGGTCTGTTATTTTACACTGACTGTCTTCAATAAATGTAAAACCATATTTGAAGACGGGGTCATATTTTCTCTTCTTGACAGGGACCGGATTGTTTGCCTTGTTGTTGACATTGGAAGCAGCAGTAGATGAAGAGGGAGCTGCACGTTTTAAAATCTTGTCCATAATTTTACTCTGACAGCTAGCCGACATGAGTTAAATGACAGCTAACTATCCACATGTGCAATGCCTGCAGAATACATCTGCATAGTTGGCTGTCAATCAAGCTAGCTGTCAGAAGAACATCTGTATTATCTGATTGGAGATGTCACATTTAAAACAATACAATGTTGGAGAATTAAATATTTATTGCATCAGTGTGTCAAATCAAATGTTTATTGGTCACATACACATATTTAGCAGATGTTATTGTGGGTGTAGCAAAATGCTTGTGTGTGTCGAGAAATGTGTCATTTCATTGGATCAGTGTATGTGTGTGTGTGTGTGTGTGGAGCGAGAACGTTATTGTATTGGTCAGCGCGAAAACCCTCAGAGTCCGAATGTAGCTAGCCATTTTACCACTGCAGAAGCACTGCATTTTCTAAGTCAGCAACAATAAGCGGTGCACCCGGTAAACTTTCAAAATAAAAGTTTTGGTGCGGCGGTTACCTTTTAAAATAATGTATTCTTTTTTTTTTTTTTTTTTTTTTTTTTTTTTTTACCACGGCTGTCAGCCAATCAACATTCAGGGCTCGAACCTTATAAACTAGGTGGTTAAAGCCCATTTCTTTTTACTGCTCTAATTACGTTGGTAACCAGCTTATAATAGCAATAAGGCACCTCAGGGGTTTGTGGTATATGGCCAATTTGCCACGGCTAAGGGCTGTATCCAGGCACTCTGCGTTGAGTCGTGCGTAAGAACAGCCCTTAGCCGTGGTATATTGGCCATATACCACACCCTCTCTGGCCTTATTGCTTAATTTTAGGATGCCATATATGAATCAAGCAATAAAACCACTTTTGGTCAACTTTTTCTTCTCTACACTGAACAAAAATATAAACACAACATGTAAAGTGTTGGTCCCATGTTTCATGAGCTGAAATAAAAGATCCCAGGAATGTTCCATACGCACAAAATCGTATTTCTTTCAAATTTTGTGTACAAATTAGTATCGACAAGCATAAGCTATGGACAACAAACACAATTGCGTTTTATCGATGGCAATTTGAATGCACAGAGATATCGTAACGAGATCCTGAGGCCCATTTAAAATTGTTGCATGTTGCGTTTATTTTCGTTCAGTATAAGTATAGATTAGATATAAAGTAATTAAAAGTTTGGCCTACTATAAGTCCTATAATTATTTATTATATTTAATTGAATAGTTGAAAACTATACTCACCACCTTGCTTTTCTTCCTCAGATGTCTCTGCATAGATAAAATCGTCAGGAATGATGGAACACGAGATTGATTTTCAAGAACACCTGGACAAACTGGTTATCTCAGAGCCAACCGATCCTATTATAAAGTGTATTATTAATGATAATCTGGAGAGGCTGAAGAAATTGATTAGAGGCAAGGACATCAATGCGTTGTACCCTTGTGTTGAGTTAAAAGATGAAGTAAACCCTTTAATTGCTGCTGTTGCATTTGCAAATCAGGAGATTTGTACATTTCTTCTGGGAAAAGGTGCTAACCCCAACAAACCATCAGCAAAATCTTTAGCACCACTGCATTATGCTGGACTTCACAAAGTTCCAGTGAATATAGTGACAACATTACTGGAAGCAAATGCAGATCCAAATGGACTAGAAGACATAGGACTACCTGTTAAACCAAAGTTCTCTCCACTTCAATTAGCACATACGAATGAAGATATTGTGAAGGAGTTGCTCAAATCTGGAGCGTTAATGTGGCTAAATCATGGCGTCTATCCTGCAATTGATCTGAAATTGGCCACAATAATTGAAAACTTTGCTAAAGAGAGTGAGTTCTTTTCCAAAATCAAGCTTTTTTTAGATTTTGTACAAGCATTAAAACAAACAGCGCCGACAGATGTTTTCCAACTCTACGGAGTTCACTTACTAGAGGTGAACCCCCAAACCCACCTCACTATGATTGACATGTGCTTTAGCATTAAAGGTCCAAATGAAGACGAATACTTCCAGAAAGCCATTAAATGGTTGAACGACTCAAATATACTAGATCACTATGCTGAAGATGTAAGCAGACGTCTGTCTACAATTCCTCTGAAATTTAAGGCAGGTGCATTGAAATCCTTAGATAATGTTGTTTGTGCCATGAAGGAAATACCTAATGAGGTGTCACTTATCCTAATTCCTGAGTTAGTGAAACTGGTTTCCTGTAAAACAGATGATCTCATGCCATTGATCGTTGTTATACTCTACGGCATCACACAGAAGACAAAAAACAAGGATCGTTGGAGCAAGTCTGACCTTGAGAAAATATGCAAGCACATTGTCCCATGCACACAGAGAGAGGGTTATCTCTCTGAATTGAAGATGTATGCCTATGCCTTGCTAGCAGATCTTTACACATTTAGTTGTGTTCCTGGTTACATCATCTGTCTGGGACTGTCTCCGGTCCCTGAAGAACTACTTAGCTGGGGAAGGAATGAAAACCTGAAAGAAAAACTGAGAGATCTAAACATGTCCTTAAACAGACAATATTCAGTCTCCAACTCAGCAAGTGAAGAGTCAAAAGACAGTAATTTGTCAGAATCCAAGAAGAAGAAGAAGAAGAAGAAGAAGAAGAGGGGAGAGGCAGAAAACCAAGACACACCAAAAGAAGAGACAGGCACACAAGAAAATAACACATGTTTAGCCTTCAATACTTCATCTACTCCTGTTGAGGAATCTGGCCTTGCTGGAAGTTCAAGTGTGGAGCCGTTCCACCCCACCACTGACACGCCACCATTACAGCGCAAATGGCACAAAGTCAGCAAGCGGTGGGAGACACAGTTAGAGAAGCTTGCCAACATGGATAGTAAAGTATATACAGTAGGAAACCTCACTCTAATAGATGAAGGAAATTCCTTCCGCATAGCAAAGGGAAGTGATGGAACTGAGGTCTTCTTGGGCCTGAAGGATGATGGCACTGAAGTAGCCATAAAGAGAATGATCAGGTCAAACTATGAAATTCTCAAGAATGAAGAAGGATTTTTACGTCTTCCAGCGCTTGACAGTACTTGTATTGTGAGATACATGGACTTTGCGGAAGACCGTTTTTTTGGTTATCTTGCTCTTCAGCTCTGTGAATACACCCTGGATGAATACATTAATACATACCTGTCAAAGGACGACACTCATGCCCTGATTAAAATCACTCAAGAGGTGCTCTGCAGTTTAAGAGTCCTTCATTGTCCAACTACCAAAGTCCTTCATCGGGATATCAAACCTCAGAATGTTTTGATAGGTGAGCGATTCTATAGTATTGCACAGTTAAGCCTTTCACTCCCACTAAATCTAATTTATGTTTTTATCATTATGTATTAAAAGTCCATATGCAGTATCTTAAAGTCATTTTCTAGTACCTATACTTATGAAAAGCATGCTATTGTGATATTGTTTCTCCTTAACAGATATTAAAGGAAATGCAAAATTGGCAGATTTTGGCATAAGTCGCAGATTGACAGTGGATCAAACAACTCTATACACAATCCCTGCAGGAACAAAATGCTGGATGGCCAAGGAGACGTTAGACAAAATAGGCTCTCGATATAAGCGGAGCGCTGATATACAGGTTGAGTAACATGAAGATAAAATACAGAAAATGTCCTGTTTGTCGAGCGATGGACTGAATGATTATTGTAATTTCAGGTGGCCGGGATGTTGGTCTACTACATTCTTTCTGGTGGACACCACCCCTTTGAAGATCCACTTGGTGATGAACTTGAACATAATCGAAACATAATCAAGGGGACTTACACACTAGAACATGTGTCAGATGAGGTGGCAAAAGATCTCATTGAGTGGATGATCACTGAAGACCCTGAGAAGAGACCTACAGTGGAGGAGACCCTGGATCATCCCCTCTTCTGGAAACCACACAGGTGAAAATCCGTATAGTTGTCACTTGAAAAGTTGTTTTATTAGTATGGCACCCTGTATAATAGGTAATAATGAAAATAATAATAATAAACCACATTTCATACATTGCACTCAACACACAAACTAAAGCTAAACATTGGAAGATAAGGACAAACAATTATAACACAATGATAATACTGTACATGCATAATGAACATAGTTAATATTATTCAGATGTATAGGATGCTTTATCTTGGGCAAAAGATGAGACAATGCTGAAGTATATGCATTAAACTATGAGTACACAAAGTACATGTATGTATGACTAGACATTTTCTACTGCACATTGATGTCTTTCAGGAGAGTTGAGTACTTGAGAACAGTTGGGAATGAGGAGGAGGTCGGGAAGTATCGTGATGCTGACCCAGAGCTTCTAGAAGATCTGAAACAAAGAGCTATGGCAAAAACCTTCTGTCAGTGGAGATCCAAGGTGAACCAGATGTCATTTTATTTAATATACATACCTGTACATGTATATTAAAACATGTATACACTAACGCAATAGAGTGGGAGTACCCTATCCCCTGGCTGAGCTTGTAGAAGGCTCACATACATAGAGGCTGCATAATATACAGATATTGTTTTATGTTCACAGTTGCCGTCTGATTTGATGAAAAAGATGGATGGCAAAAAGCCCTACCCTGAGAACATGTTGGGGTTACTACGCTTCATACGCAACCTACATGAGCACTAGTAAGTAAGACTCATGTTTTTCCCAGTACTCAAAGTTTTCAGTCTCTTACCATTGAAGGTGGCTGAGTGTTTGTTTCTCCTTCTGCAGCGCTGAGGATTTAGAATCTGTTGACCTGATGAAGATGTTCCCTGATCTCTTTGGATGCGTCTACATGTTAGCCAAGAAACAGGGCTGGAATTCAAGGCCTGGTCTGAAAAACATGTTTCAGAGAGATCTAAGCTCATGATTCTGAAATGTAAACTATATGTAATTTGGACTGATGAAATATGAACTACTGTCATACTTTTGACTCTTTGTAGGACATTTTATATTCTATATTTTCACTGATAGATCTAATATCCATAATATTTTTACAAATCAAGATCTTACATGGTTATAAACTGCATATTATGGGAGTTCATATGAAAATACTGTACACACAAAGCTTTGATATAAGGTAGCAATTAACATTTTCAAATCAAATCAAATGTTATTTGCCACATGCACCGAATACAACAGGTGTAGACATTACAGTGAAATGCTTACTTACAAGCCCTTAACCAACAATGCAGTTTTTTAAAGAAAAAGTAAAATCAAAATGTGTTAAGTAAAAAAATAAAAGCAAATAACCAAAGAGCAGCAGTAAAATAAAATAACAGTAGGGAGGCTATATACAGGGGGGTACCGGTACAGAGTCAATGTGCGGGGGCACTGGCTAGTCGAGATAATTGAGGTAATATGTACATGTGGGTAGATAATAAACAGTAGCAGCAGCGTAAAAGAGGAGGTGGGGGGGGGGGGGGGGGGGGGGGGGGGGGGGTAGCCATGATTAGCTGTTCAGGAGTCTTATGGCTTAGGGGTAGAAGCTGTTGAGAAGCCTTTTGGACCTAGACTTGGCTCTCCGGTACCGCTTGCCGTGCGGTAGCAGAGAGAACAGTCTATGACTAGGGTGGCTTGAGTATTTGACAATTTTTAGGGCCTTCCTCTGACACCGCCTGGTATAGAGGTCCTGGATGGCAGGAAGCTTGGCCCCAGTGATGTACTGGGCCGTACGCACTACCCTCTGTAGCACCTTGCGGTCGGAGGCCGAGCAGTTGCCATACCAGGCGGTGATGCAACCAGTCAGGATGCTCTCGATGGTGCAGCTGTATAACTTTTTGAGGATCTGAGGACCCATGCCAAATCTTTTCAGTCTCCTGAGGGGGAATAGGTTTTGTCGTGCCCTCTTCACGACTGTCTTGGTGTGTTTGGACCATGATAGTTGTTGGTGATGTGGACACCAAGGAACTTGAAGCTCTCAACCTGTTCCACTACAGCACCGTCAATGAGAATGGGGGCGTGCTCAGTCCTCTTTTTTTTCCTGTAGTCCACAATCATCTCCTTTGTCTTGATCACGTTGAGGGAGAGGTTGTTATCCTGGCAACACACGGCCAGGTCTCTGACCACCTCCCTATAGGCTGTCTCATCGTTGTCTGTGATCAGGCCTACCACTGTTGTGTCGTCGGCAAACTTAATGATGGTGTTGGAGTCGTGCCTGGCCATGCAGTCATGGGTGAACAGGGAGTACAGGAGGGGACTGGGCACGCACCCCTGAGGGGCCCCCGTGTTGAGGATCAGCGTGGCAGATGTGTTGTATTTAAGGTATACAGGATTTGTAAAATTATCAATTATCTGTATGAGATGTATTAGGGATATCTGGATCAAAGTATTGACAGCCTATTGTTTTTTTATATCTGTGTTTTGCTTGATATGAAAATGAAGTCTACCCAAGAGTGCATTGAAACATAATTGTATTTCTCAGCGATATATGAATTCAGGAGCTGTGACGCCCTCTTGTGGATAGAACTGTGAAGGTTACAAATGTAGTGTTGATCATCAAAAGTTTTCTGTTAATCGAACACCACAATACAATGTTCCCGCACGTCTCTCAATATAATAAAGGCTATCAAAGATCAATATAGAACTGTCATTTTTTTCGACACACCCAGACATTCCTGCCAACCTGCAACAGCTGCTGATGTGGAGTAAACAAACTGTAGCATGCAGCAGGAACAAAACATAATTATCTTTCTGGTATAAAGCCACAATCAGCCACACGTCCAGCACCAGATCAACCACAATGAAAAACAGACCTCAGAGTCACCAGGAATTCTAACACAGGCTAGTAGACCTACTGTCATCTGTGACGCTGGGTGGTCCCTTATCCCACCCGACTAGACTACAATCACCCCATTAAAAGGTGGAAATCACACCATTCAGGTGAATGTGGTCGACATGCTATGTCGGAACTTAATATGTCCCTCTTTTATAAACAGAAATTATATATTAAAAACATCTGTTAGATTTTTGTCAAACAACTGTACAGACTAGCAGACGTCTTTCATTTTATTTGTTTATTGGGATCCCCATGATCTGTTACAAAGCAGCAGATACTCTTCCTGGGGTCCAAAAACTAAGTTGTATCCAAGTATATTTTACATCTCTTAACAGAACAATGGAACAGTGGAGGTAGCAGCAGATGGGCTTTTGGTTTGCCTAGGAAAAAGTATTCTGGATCAAGTTATGAGCCACCAAAACATGAGGAAAAGTACTTTGCAAACCAAGCTCATGTGGATCGATTCAGGTGGATCGATTCAGGTGATATTATCACCAACGGGTAAAGTGATAACATTATGCCTGAATGTAATATGCACTGCATTTTAAGGATAACTTCCATTGTTACCTTATACACAACGTGAACAAAATCTAGAATTATTTGAACTCATATCAAACCTCGCCACTAATTCATATTTAAATGATGCAGTTGTCCCTCCACTTCATCTGTTTGACTCAGTGGTCTTAACGTTGGAGGCGGTATGTTGGTATTGTGAATGTTGAATGTAATATTATTGGTTGTTTCATGCAACATCCATTTAGGCACTGACCCTGGCACAACTGTGTGTGATCTGCTTCAGGCAACAGCTCAGTACGTTATACCTGTACTGTACTTGATATTTAAAAAAATGGTAGGGTTGCCAGGGATTTCAAGTGGGCAACACCATCGGGTCCAAACCCAAAACAACGAAATTGGACGAAACAGGCGTGTTGGGGATTTCCTGCAAGCATGAGCAAACACTTCACTTATTGGACATGAAAAAGGGTGAAAGGTAGGCTGCAGTGATAATGAGTTGTTGTTTTTGTCAGTATTTTTTTCAATCTTTGGTTAATTTAGTACGCAAATAACGATGTATCTCCTCTGTAGTTTGTCAAATGCAGTGTACCTGCTGCGAGAGGAGGGGATGAGAGACAAGAACATCAATCTCATCTTCATGGAGGACATTGCATGCAAGATGCAACCACATGCAAGTAATTCACCTTTTTTATTCAAGATCACATTTACTTTAACATTTGAATAGCAGTTTCCACCCAATTTTTTGTTTTTATATTTTGTCCATAACCTTTTTAAGAAACTTTCCTGAATTGAAGCATGGGACCAAATATATTGTGCCAGTTTTCCATGCTTACGGACATGACTTGCCATGTCAGGTATTTGAATATGATCATTAATATTGTCAGTAGTTATTTATTCATATTTTATAAGGTTTAAACAAATAACCCTTTCACTATGGAATGACATGATTTTATATTTCTAGATGAAATTCAACACAAGATATGTGGAAGGTGCTGGACTGGCAGATGGGAAGCAGATGGAGAGACTGTGGACGTATCTGAGGCGCTTTGGGAAGGTCACCAAAGAGATGACGCCGTCCCATCGTATTGACCTCCTGACTGATGCCCTTCTCCACCATGGGAAAAAGATGCGCCAGAGGCAACGTTAGTACACTTAGAATCGTTATTAATTTACTTGATGCTGGTTGACTCTAGAGATGTTCCGAACATTTCCATTTTTGTTTGTTTTAGTCGACTCTGATACAGGGGCTTTCCCGAGCAACAGAAGTTGCAAAAGTGGCAGAAAGAGAATGGCAGAAATGTCGCAGTCTCTAACAGGTAGACCATTGTATCAATTCTCTAAGCATAGAATTTCAGTATTGATTATAATTTGTTGTTACATCTATCAATGTTGTTATGTTTTAGGAACAACACTGGACACCATTAGGGATTGTGGCAGGAATGTCAGTGTGACCCTTGAGAGTCAAAGTATTTAGAACCTTTCTGATTCCAGAAAACTCAAGACGATGGAGAGGAAGAACAGCATCCTCCATCGATGGTCCCCCACCAGCAGTTACTTCCAGACTGCACTCCACAGACTGCAGAGTAACGGATTGAAGAACAGTTTGGAGGGAACCTTCAGCTAGACCGGAGGTTCCTCTGTGGCCTGATGAGAAAATATGCAGGATATATATACAGTGCCTTCGGAACGTATTCAGACCCCTTGACTTTTTCCACATTTTGTTACGTTACAGCCTTATTCTAAAATTGATGAAATGTCTTTTTTAATCACGAATCTACACACAATACCCCATAACAACAAAGCAAAAACAGATTTTTAGACATTTTTGCAAATTCATCAAAAATAAATAACTGAAATACCATATTTACATAAATATTCAGTCCCTTTGCTATGAAACTCGAAATTGAGCTTGGGTGCATCCTGTTTCCATTGATCATCCTTGAGATGTTTCTACAACTTGATGTTTCCAACTGTGATAAATTAAATTGAATGGATATGATTTGGAAAGGCACACACCTGTCTATATAAGGTCCCACAGTTGACAGTGCATGTCAGAGTAAAAACCAAGCCATGAAGTTGAAGGAATTGTCCGTAGAGCTCCGACACAGATCTGGGGAAAGGTACCAAAAACATTCTGCAGCATTGAAGGTCCCCAAGAACACAGTGACCTCCATCATTCTTAAATGGAAGAAGTTTGGAACCACCAAGACTCTTCCTAGAGCTGGCCGCCCGGCCAAACTGAGCAATCGGGGGAGAAGGGCCTTGGTCAGGGAGGTGACCAAGAACCCGATGGTCACTCTGACAGAGCTCTAGAGTTCCTCTGTGGAGATGGGAGAACCTTCCAGAAGGACAACCATCTTTGCAGCACTCCACCAATCAGGCCTTTATGGTAGAGTCGCCAGACGGAAGCCACTCCTCAGTAAAAGGCACCTGACAGCCCGCTTGGAGTTTGCCAAAAGGCAGCTAAAGAATCTCAGACCATGTGAAACAAGATTATCTGGTCTGATGAAACCAAGATTTAACTCTTTGGCCTGAATGCCAAGCGTCACGTCTAAAGGAAACCTGGAACATCTCTACGGTGAAGCATGGTGGTGGCAGCATCATGCTGAAGGGATGTTTTTCAGCGGCAGGGACTGGGAGACTAGTAAGGATCAAGGCAAAGATAAATGGAGCAAAGTACAGAGAGATCCTTGATGAAAACCTGCTCCAGAGCGCTCAGGACCTCAGACTGGGGTGAAGGTTCACCTTCCAACAGGACAACGACCCTAAGCACACAGCCAAGACAATGCATGAGTCGCTTCGGGACAAGTCTCTGAATGTCCTTGAGTGGCCCAGCCAGAGCTCGGACTTTAACCCGATCAATCATCTCTGGAGAGACCTGAAAATAGCTGTGCAGCGACGCTCTCC